CCGTACTTGGCCTCAGAATGGTGGTGCAAGACGACTTCCTTGACGAGCAAATCTGGGGCAAAATTATGGCTTACAACCGCGTCACCTGTCCATGACGCTTGTGGGTGCCCCGCCAACGCTCCGCTTCGTTGACGAGAACGCCAATGGATGAGTCTACTCTATTGGTCTTAATCCACGTTGAAGGCCTGCTTAGTTGCCTCATACGAGGAAATCATGATGGCGCACGCGGGTGCGACTTTCACAACGCGAGGCACCAACCCGGCCGTCATGCCCCGAGCTCCTTCCGCCTCCCACACCTGCTGCAACAGCTGTGTAAACGATGGCGCTGGAGCCATATCTTTAGTGTACACGACCAGCTGCGACCGCGTCTTGACCACGTCGAATGGATGTGTGGAAATTGTGGCCAACACACCCGCCAGTACGCCCGAGATTAAGGCAACTGAGACCTTCTTTGTCTGGGCGTCTGCAATGGGCACCCGGTCCATCAGATACTCCTTAGACGTCTCAATACCATACCAGTAGAAGGCAGAGAACGGAATATCCCTAGCAAGGGTGGCGCCAAGACCAGCAAACAGCTGACGAGCCCCACCTTGCCATACTCGCCGCATGTACGTCGCGAACGGATGCGCGTTGGCGACAGCTTGCATCTGGACGCGAATCAGCTCGAAAGGAGAGAAGATCGTGGCGGCGGCTGCACGTGCCATGCTGCCTGATGCCATAGCCAGAAGTCCGTGGTTTTGCTCAGGAAAAGCTGTCTTCAGTCGTTTGAGCAGCATTTCGTACGATGTGAAGTACACTGCCGTCGACGGAATAGCAGTCAGCAGCGTTGGCGGCAATCCGGCGTACAATGCCAGTGGGCCCTCCAGACGCACGATGCGAGCCATTGTGAACAGAGTGCTATCAGGTTTGGGCGGTGCGCAAATTTGCTGCGGTGAGCACTTGCACTGCTTGAGCAGCCGCTGTTTGGGCAGCATTGTATCGATCAATCCATTGGAGAAGTTGTAGTAAGGGCACTGCCACAATATCATTTACCAGCACGGTTAGCAAATGCCAATTGCCAGCACTAAATTCCAGTTTGAGACCTGGTAAACAGAGTAACTTCTGATAAATCTACCTTTTGCACAGCCGGCGATGCGTGGACCACAGTGGGCGCTTGCACCTGCAAGCGCGTCTTCACCACCTCCAGCGCTGTATCATCAATAACACGCAGCATTCTGTCCTCAGTAAAGTGCTAAAGTTACAGGAGGATCACTGCCGCCTCCAGTCTGTTTGGTGTGTCTTACGTGTGATCTGCGCAGCGCGAGAGATGCATTATAGTCAGTGGCAAACTGGAGATCGTTCGTTCATCCAGAGCTAATGGCACGCACCACGAAGGACGTGATGACTGCTCCAACGGAGGCGGCGATGGACTTCTTGACGGTCTCGTCCATCTTTAAATCAAAAGTTTTGATTTACAAAGCGTCGGCCGTTACCTGGTTTTATTTCTGACCAACCATATTGTTCCAAATCAGTATAACGGTTTGGATTGGCTGAAACCGAAATAAAAGATGAAACTGTAGCCATGTCACCTTTGCTGGGAAGCTCGAGCTCTGTTTTCCACGACCAGACTTTCTTAGAAAATCCCAACGGATCATCCCGCATATAGCGGTTTGTAAGGAGCTGTCAAAAAGCAAGTCACGAACCCAAGAGTCCTGCGGACCCATAAAGAAACTGCTCAACAACATGATGGAAGCGTCGGGCTCCACGACTGCCGCGCGCCCTGCTGCCCCCGTTCCGCCTGCAGCTGCGGCCCCCGCCGCAGCTGGAGAAGGCACTACCACTGGCTCGGCCTCGGTCCCCGCCTCGGAGATGCTTCGTCAGATCTCGACGCAGTTCAAAACTCAGATCTCACAGGTGCAGATGCCGCCGGCTATTAAGGAGCGCACGGACGAGCTGGAGCGCCGCATCTCGGGCACAGACATTAAGCGCATTAATGGCTACATGCGGCTTGTGAACTTGGTCTTCGCTGGGGGTCTGTGGGTCTTGTGCTTCTTCCGCATGTTCCAGGCGCCCAGCTACTCGCACTTCCTTGTGTGTATCTACCTCATGTACGTCCGTCGGCTGACTACTGTCGCGCAAGGACCGTCGCTGATAGACTGTGGTGCTGTTTTATTCCATGTACAGGTTTCTGAGTGCAGGACTGGCGTTCATTGAGAACCACGAGCGCTTCCCGTCGGTAGCGGACCGTGTTAAGGTCAACTTTGGCTTCATGTTCTCGGCCACTGGCAAGGCGTCCTACATTCTCTGGTACGTGATTACTTACCAGCAACTCAACCAGCTCTGTAAACGTGTACTGATGTATACGATTGTGGCTACGTTGCACTGTGTAGCATCGCGTTCCTCGCCGTCTCGCAGGGCTGGATCGGCTGGATTCTCGGCGTGTGTTTCTTCTTCTTGGCTCTCTTCAACTTCTTCCTCATCCACCGGGTACGTTGGACTCTAGATGGATTTTTAAACATGATTTTTGTAAGGGTCTCACGGCTTCCTTTGTTATTATCTCCAGCACCCGGCGTACAAGCAGGCCATGATGCAGCCGACGGGAGCGGCCTCGACTGCCCAACAGCAGGAGGATGCGGACCTTGAAGCCATGCCGGAACTCCGTTATAATCAGAAGCAGGCGCAAGTTCCCGTGTCTGGAACGTCCACCGCCAACAAGGCTCAGCCGTCTCACGTGTCGGTCTAAACGCAAGACTTACAACACCTGCATCGCTAGGACACGAAAGTGAGAGCTAAGCTGCATGGTTATATATCCGCCTTTTCTGCATCGTCTCTTCGACCAAATCCAAATAGTAAGATAGCCCACATCTACTTGAGTTTCATGAGTTCTTGTTGAGCTGCTTAGTACGGACGAAAGCAGTGGATACTGTCATGCTGTTAGTTGCTTCCATCGCTGCGCTGCTTGCGTATTTTACTCCTTGGCCTCGCCGCCGTGCTGCGCCACGACACCATTGCCGTGGAACTTGAGCGTCTTGACCCAGTTGCTGCGACGGCCAGTGGGGTGCTTGAACTGCACGGCCGACTTCTTGCCCTTCTGCTTGATGAGCGTCTCAATGTGCTCAGGCAGGAAGTTGTGCGAGTACGAGATCTTGCCGTAGTAGTCGCCGACAGGGGCAGGCTCTTCGATCTCGAGCTCCCATCCCTGCTTCTTGGCAAAGCGCTCAGCCTCTTCCTTAGTGTCGAACTTGGTCACCATACCCACGTACGGGTCGGCCGTGCTGGTCCAGCCCATGAGGGGGTTTTCCCATGTGCGGGGCGACGTGAAGCGGATCTCCCAGTGCTTCGTCTGGTGGATACCGCTTTGCATTTGGTTACGTGCCGGCTTGAAGAGTTTAGCCTTGCGGCCCACGGACCACTCGCCTGTGCCAGACACGATAGCGGCTTCCTCTGGGTAGGGCATGGGAGACTTGTCGATGGTCGGGACGCAGGCCTCCGACGCTTGGTACGGCAGAACTACGATACCAAACGGAGGTGCATTACGTCAGTGTTATTTTCAGATTAATAAATAGTCCTGGACTTGTGCTGGCAACGTACTGGTGCGTTCAGCGTCGGCGTATTTCTGCTCGCGCAACTTGGCCATAAGCTTCTCCTCGGCGGCTTCGGCCGCAGCCTTGGCGGCCTCGTCATCCTTGGCCACCTCAGAGAAGGCACGAGAGGCCGCACGCTTCGTGGAGGCGGCAGTGGCTACGCGCGTAGACACTTGGAGCACACGCAGCGACATGGTGACGGACTGCGTGGTTGGAACCTGTTGTCTGGCTGTGGAGCTCTTCCAGCCGCAAATTAGCCAGGGGAATGTCTAAGTATCGCCATAATTTCCAAAATTTAGAAAATGAAAGCTGGACCCCCAGAATGTTATCAGATGACTCATGGCAAGTTGCAGTGAGCATGAACAAAATATGAAAGGTACCGCATTTAGTTATGTGGTAGATGTCGACGCTCGCCAATACTAGTCTACCTGAGTGTTTGACCAGGTAATACATAGTCACGCATCAATACGAACGGCGGCTAACTCGACGACAGCTCTTAGCTCTACTTCAGAGGCTTGGTAGTGCCCGAGGATCCAGAATTTACCATGCACATTCCAGCCTCGCTAGTTCAGTGAGGAACAGCTGCACCTCCGCAGGGTCACGCAGAGAATATGACGCCTTCGTCACTGGCAATTCCTTCAGATTGCCTGGAAGATCCACCTTCTCCGCCTCTGGGTCTCGTACGATGATTGAAATGCCCTGGCCGAGTCCACGGCCATTCAAAGCATTGAAAGCATCCTCGTCGCTAACATCATCACCTAAGTAAAAGGGTACGACATCCTCTGCATCTAGTCCCAATTCTGACAGGATGAACATGACGGCGCGACCCTTATCCCAGTCAACCTGCACACGATAAATGCACACTGGTTAGACACTAATATAACCATAGCAGGCAGATATTACAGGTCGGACATACCCGAGGTCGCAACTCGAATACCATCTTGCCCATTTTCTTGGTCAGGTCCGAATGGTACGCCACGTAGTCGTCCACGATCTGCTCGACGGCATTTTGGAGCGCCGGGTCAACCTGGTTAGTGATGAAGCACAAGCCAGACAGACTGTTAAGGTAGAATAAAACACCCATCGACTTTCATGTAGCACTCACGTGGCGATAGTGGACTGAGATGGCAAGTCCGTTATCTTCCAACTCGGTCCCAGCGATGTGCGCGGTCTGCGCCGCCAAGTCACGCAGCGCTTGCTCCAGTTCGGGACGGAAGTGGTCGGCAACTTGGCAGTTGATAGGACGCGTCTTGGTGCCTTTGATGTCGAACCCGTGGCTGCCAGCGTACACGAGGTTGTCTAACTGCACAAAGTTGTATACCTTTTCCGTGGACCGGCCGGTCACAATAGCCGTCACGAACTTGGACGAGAGCTCACTGAGCGCAGTACGCATGTCGTCCGCCATGAAGGCATGATCGGGTACGTCCACAATGGGCGACAGAGTACCGTCGTAGTCCAGGAACACAACAGGACGCTTGCCTGCGTTTAGATAAAAAAAAAATCAGCAACCCAAGTCAGTTATGATGCTTCCAGATAGGCTTAGTACAAGTGCAGCACTGGTATCGTTACTAAAAGCACCGACTTACCAGCGACTTTCTGCTTAATGGAGTCTAAGTCCCGGAACGCGTTGGTCGGATGCAGCATTCTGGTGGCGAGTTCTTGCCTCTCAAGGCCTGTAGATGGCGGTTCGCGATGCAACGAAGGATATAGGTAGATGTGGACACTGGCAGCACCTGCACTTGATGCGGCGGCTGCGCAGACGCCTGGGGCTGTGCTGAGCTCGCGCTCGCTAGGCCGGAGGCAGGTGAAGACTTGAGCTAATGTGACCAGGACAAGTCGTGGCCGTCCGAGCCCGAGTCAACATTCTGACCAATCAGCTGTCGTGATTGAATGGTACGCTCGCAGTAAACAGACTTGGAGTTTGTATGGTTAGGAGCACAGTCCGCGAGGTCAGGTGTAGTCAGAGCTTGGTTTTCACTCGCAAGAGAAGGCGCTCAGTACCAAGTTGAGTATGTACTACCAAGGAGCAATGTGTCTGCAACTGCAATGGAAGCGCCCAACCACGCGCTGTTTTCTCCACGATCTAAGGTTACTCTTCATTTCGAGGACGAGTGTTTTGTGGAACGTGTGCCAATCTGGCACTACATATAGTAAAACGCTCGCAATCTCGGGGGCCCGAGATCCGAACTCAGATCGTCTGAGCCCTTCGTGTCTTGCAACGTTGTTTGTGAACGGAATTTCGTGCCGTTCCAAGTGCCACCGTGCGTCATTCGCTTTCGATATCCAACACTGCTTCCTCCATGCGCCGCCTCTTCCACTTTGACAGCACCAACAGAAATCGTGTTGGTTGCGCCGCCAATTAAGTTAGCTGAACGCTTTCACGACAATGCGGCGACATCCATCGTAGGTTAGTGCTAGCCGAGCAGTGCTCGTTACTTCTTCGCCCTTTTGAGAAGTTTCCGTTTGTCTTCAATGGCTTGCTTTATTCGTAATGGAAGTTCATTTGAACTGTGAATGTTCTCATTGATCTTCACAATGACGAGCAACGAATCGACACGGATAGTATTCATCAAACGTGCGCCGGCGCTGGGCCATAAATTATCACTGATAATTGACGTTCCCCCAGTCTGGCCACGAGCGTCCAGATTCGCCCATCTGATTCTACACTTGCCTTCCTTGCGGTTCCATTGTATGTGTGGAAACCACTTCTCTGCATGGTAGGACAGCCCAGCGCGGTGCTTCTTCCAACAGCCTTTTCAGATTCAAAATGGAGGAGCAGTCAAATCGTACATCGCATCATCCTACATACACTTTGTACTGTGTACATGTATTCTCCTCGACCTCAGTGAATCTGGTCGATGGTCCTGTGGAACGAGCGTGAAGGTCCTAGGCGACGTTTGCTACCCAAGGTGTATGATTTTTTTTTCTTTATCTCACCACTACCCTGCCTCTAAAACTATAACAAAAATGAAGAAGATAAAGATTTTCCTACGGTGCGCTTGTCATTGCAAATTGCCGTTTGCATTCCTCAAGTTGAAGACTTGTGCTCCGCGTTTTGCTGTCGCGATCTCGCTTTCCTGTCGACTAACCGGATCGCCTTGACGAACGAATGGATACTTTGGATGACCAGCGAATTCGATTAAGCCGTATCATCTTTCAACACGCTCTCTCACGCGCATAAGGACGACACTACTGCGGTGGACATGGCGCCTAGATTCGCCGCAAAACGCGGTCAACAAGGCATCTGTAGTGATCGCAACGCAGCAGTCTCACCAGCACGAGCACCTGAGTCAATGGATTTTGTCGGGGTTTCGATCGCACGATCCGTTTCTGACCATCCTATTTTTGCTCGAATGTGTTTCAGCCAATCACAGCACCCGAAAACTCTAAAACTGCACATAACGCGTGCGTACTTGACTGCGATCCCACTTTCCATCTGTCGCAGTCGAGCAAGCGGCCTTGAAGGCGGAACAAATTCGACATAGTGGGCGCCATATAATTTGGCGCCCCTTCCTCGCTAGACACAACGCCGCAGATACATCACAACTGTGGCGAAGGGAGCAAAACCAGCGTGGGCTTCGAGCACGTCACACAACCGAACAAGCTCGAACCCTGGCAACTCACTCCCCCCATGCACACGGCCCAAGCACTCGCATCCATCCGCCGCTCGCGCACCTACGACGCCGAGGGCGGTAAGCGCAAATACCCGAGCGAACACTCGTCTCTACTGCACGGCAACACCCACAGCGGCAGCAACGGCACGAGCTTCCAAATGTCCTCGGCCAGCGACGTCAACGACGCGCCGCCCACGCTCAAGGAAGATTTACACGCCATCTACGGGATGCTGAAGGATCAGCCGCTCAATCTGTTGCTGCTGGCAGCGCCTTTGGCCGTTTGGGCCTCACTGGGCGGCTGGAGCGACCTCTGGGTCTTTATCTTCAACTTCCTCGTCATGATCCCGCTCGCCAACCTGCTGGGCGAAGCTACAGAGTCTCTGGCCTTCCACACGGGCGAGACTATTGGTGGATTGGTCAACGCCACGTTCGGCAACGCCGTCGAGGTGATCGTGGCCATCTTTGCGCTTAAAGCGGGTGAGATTAACGTAGTGCAGAGCTCGCTTATCGGATCGGTGCTGTCCAATCTGCTGCTAGTTCTGGGTTGCGCCTTCATCGCTGGTGGCGTGCGCAACAAGGAGAACTCGTTCAACGCCGTGGGCGCCAGCGCCAACTCGTCGCTGCTCATGTTGGCCAGCTTTGCCATGCTGTTGCCTAGCTATATCTTCTATTTCTCCGATAACGACTCGGAGGAGACGCGCGTGACCAACACACTGACACTCTCGCGCATCGCTGCGGCCTTCCTGCTCTTCATGTACCTCCAGCTGCTCTTCTTCCAGCTCAAAACCCACGCTGACTTTTTCGAAGACGCTCAGGACGAATCCGAGGAGACTGTGGCACTATCCAAGCGTGCTAGTGCTACAGTCTTACTAGTGGCCACTCTGTTGGTGTCTTTGTTCTCCGAGTTCCTCGTGAACTCCATTGACGGCTTCGCTAACGAGATGCACTTGAGCAAGTCGTTTATTGGCATTATCCTGTTACCAGTTGTTGGTAACGCTGTGGAGCATGTAACAGCCGTTAAGGTGGCGCTTAACAACAAGATGGAGTTGGCTATGGGCGTCGCAGTGGGCTCGGCCACCCAAGTTTCTCTCTTCGTGGTGCCTGTTGTCGTGCTCTCCGGATGGTTCATGGATCGCGCCATGTCATTGGCGTTCCCTCAGTTCGAGATCCTCATCTACCTCATGTCAATCATCATCGTCTATGCTATTATCGCGGATGGCAAGTCCAACTGGCTCGAAGGATCTATGCTTCTCACAGCGTACGCATTGGTTGCTATTGCACTTGTGTGGGTTGAAGTCCCCACTACAGCATAATGAGCGATCTTCAGTAGTTTTATCATAGCTTTTTAGCCTGCAATAGGAACGAACTATTGCACCTATAACTCTTTTTAACCATTTCAAGATGAAGAGCTGCATATCAGCGAAGTGATAGTTCTGTTATTCGATACGTTAGATAGATAATGGTCGGATGATTCATATGTCTCTCTAGGGTCCATTGCCAGCTACGCGGTGGCTGGCAATATGTGCGTTCGTACACTTGACGGCGTCGTTGAAGCTGTACGGCTCGTTGAGGTGGTGCTCAATCCGCTAATGAAGGTGGGACGCAGCAGATACACCCGGCCGTCTTCAGTCTCGTTAACGGTGTCAAACGCACGATGCCGTGCCGCTGAAATACACATGCAGCATACACGCAGACGTTCAATAACACCTATAAGGCCCTCAACATCCTGAGACTTGGAGCACGAGCCACAAGTGTCGTGACCGCAGATATAGCACACGTGCTTCTTTCGCAACAGCGATTCCTTCACCAGTTTGCCGCACCCCGAGCAGCTCCCGTCGCCAACGTGGTCGGACGGGTCAACAGTGTCTTCTGCACCTAAACGTCTCCGGATCGCGATGTCTCCGATCTTTCGAATCACTTTAGCTAGCTTCAGTAGCGCGTGGGTCGAGGCCTCGCGCACAGTTGCAGCTTTCAGCTTGGCCTTAACAATTCCCCTGGACTTTGCTTCGTCCGAGGATACCGTGTGCGTACCGAAGTAAAACACCGAGGTCTGGTGCGATTTCACCTGCTCCGTCAGCACGTAGCCAGCCAACACGTCACCACCGACAACCAATCGACCAGCACGGTCGCGTGTCAACTTCTGAAAGGTACGAACGGCGGTGCGTGTCTTGTAGTCGAACTCTACGTAGTCTAGGAACTCGAACGTCTTAGCGCTGGACACTAACGGAATAGAGCCAGAAAACTGCATTCGCTTGGTGGTCAAGTGGACGTTTGACGACGACGTGGGTACTTCACGCAGGGTGACTGCGTAGGAGAAGGCGTCGCCAGCGAGAGCCACCATGGTGGCGTTGAAATCGTCGCTGTTGCGACTAGAAAGAACTTCCAGGATTTCGGTGGCACTACAGGGAAGAGCCGAGGACGCTGCAACGTCAAACACGCCGGGGGTCGATTTCCGCTCAAACAAGCGCACCCCCTGACCGTCCTTGCGTTCTTTCCAACCCGCAGTGGCAAATACCTCTTGGGCGTGCTCCACCTTGGCACGAGCCTTTGCAGCCAGCGCCAGTAGAGCGTCATCTTCGCTCTTGTGCTCAACGGAAGTTCTCGACTTGGAGAATGTGGATCTGCTGCTGCTGGAACTGAAGTACGAGCGCATACTAGGAGACGGTGCCGTCTGTGAAACTCGACCCGAAGAACTCAAGAAATTGGTCTCTTCCGAGCATGTGAACATATTGCGAGAGGAGACGCCGGAGCTGCTGAAGTCGCGCTGACGCAGCGACATGGTGTTCTCAATGCACGTTTTTCGGTTGTGTCAACTGACTTTGGCGTCGTCGGTGGAGGATTTGACGAATGCTCTTTTGACGGCGTAATGGAGAATGGCTGGTCTGGTTGGTTGATCCCAGGAAAACCTAAACCAACTTGTTACACACGTTGGAGCCCAGACTGTCCAAAAAATATCACAAGTAGTTTACGGGCTTGTAAAGCTACAAAATCTATTCTACGTATTGACAGATACGTGTGGGTGAACGGCGAGGAAATCCGTCCAGCAAGCTAAATCCATCGTAATTCGCGTCGACGTGCGCACGCTGATTCAAAATGGTATCACGGCTTCACGAATGCGAAGGGGTCCTCAGCGAGGACCTCATGTGGCAATGACGACTGGCGATTTTTATTCATGGACATGTGGACTTGCTGGTGCGTGTCCGATCGCGGTTCAAGTCAAGTACATTCGGATTGAAAAGGAGCCGCAAAGGTGGACAATATCTGAAGAAGTGGGTGCCAGAATTGAATGTATATCAGGAGTTTTTGCGAGCTCCTCCATCACCAGCCCTGCGGGAATTCCTCCGAGACGACGATGATTTCGCCCAGCGAAGTTCGCCGTCAAGTGGTGAGGTGGACGTCCTTGCTCGGTGAGGAAGGTCCGACCATATTCCGGGAAAAATGGACGAGCATGGACAGAGAAATATGTAGAGTATGCACGCAGCGTACTAATAGTTGGATATTACCTCATCTTGAGATGATGAATTGTTCTTCACCACGTAGCCTTCATGGCGCGGGAGAAGAGTTTCCCTGAAGACTTGCCCTCGAAGTTCGTGCACTTTCCAACGCGCGGTGGTCTCCCTGGCACCTTTGCAGATAGGAATTGTCAATACAGCAGCATTGGATACTCGTCATGCCACGCCCGCACGGATTTTTTTCAGCTCCCATAAGCTCTGTCACTTGTGCGGTGCCACGCATTCCGATTTGCACATGTTGCCGCAACCGTTGCGCCATCGTCAATTGCATGGGCAGCGCGTGGAGACGGATCGTTGTCAAAGAATCACTCGATGAGTGCTTACTTGGGCATCCTAAAGCTGCTACTTCAAGCTCGTGCGCTAAGCACAAGAGTTCCCCATGTCCAGCGCTGGCGGTGGAGTTCACCAAATTATTGGGTGAACACAGGGGGAGAGCGTCGCTTCCACCACTATGAAAACTCACTGAGCTATTCATTATCGCTCCCAAGTCTCCGCATCACTGCCAGCAAACGGCCTCGTTCTGGATCAATGCAGGCTTTGCTGACTCACTTCAACTTACTCATCGGCTACTTAACGCTCACTTACTTGTTACTTCAACTGCCCATTTGAGCCAATCAGAGGATGCCAATCAGATACTTTTTGGCAGTGGAACACCATGAAGACAGCGCTGCTCGTGGCGCTAGCCGCGTGCTTTTTGTCGCTCCTTCTGGAACTGAACCGCGGTGCCTACGCGTGGCAAGGGGATGACGACGTCGACGAAGTGGAGGAAGACGACGACGACTTCGACTTCGTCACCAGTGATGTACGGAAGTATCTTTCAATTGTATCCTAACACGTGCACACCGCCTAACTCCTTTTGTTGCAGCTTAACTTTGTCAAGCACACCGACTACGTGGAGGTGGAGTGTAGTGGTCAGGAGTGCGCGGCTGAGGTGGCAGACGGAAGCGAAGGCGTACCCTCCGTCTGGACTCGAGGCCTTGTAACGCCAAAGCTTAAGCCTAAGCTGATTCTACAGGAACACGCGCGAGCGGCCACCAAAGTTGAGAAGCAGTTTAAAGGCGAAACTCTGGGCTACGTGACCCCGTGGAACAGCCGTGGCTACGACTGGGCCAAAACGTTCCGCACTAAGTTCACGTACATCTCGCCTGTGTGGCTGCAGCTACGTGAGGACCCTGATCACGTCCCAATCATCACGGGCACACACGATATCGATCGCCAGTGGGTGCTGGATGTCAAGAACGGAGTTGAAGGGGATGATCAGCAGGGCGAGGGTCCTGAGATTGTACCTCGTGTTGTTTATGAGCGCAACCGTCTCAGTTCAGAGGACGTCCCGATCATCATCGAGAAGATGCTGGAGTTGGTGAACGAGTACAAGTTTGATGGAATGGTGTTCGAGATTCCAGTCATGGAAGGGACAGTGGATATGCTGCAGCAAATAGGTCGCGCCTTCCGAGCTGCGGACAAGCTGCTGATCTTGGTGCTGTCCAGAAGCTCGCAGGAGGTGAGTGACAATGAGTTTATATGCTGCTCTTACGTTGTTCTAACTAGATATTTGGGCGGTATTAGGGAGAATTGCCTGTGACGCACGAAATATTTAACGAGTTGGCGCCGCTGGTGCATCGGTTCTCTATGAATGCGTACGACTTCAGTGCGCCAGGGCCGAATGCGCCGTATCCGTGGCTGAAGAAGACGCTGGAGAAGATGTCACCGATGGAGAGACAAAAGGTTCTGATGGGGATCCCATTCTACGGATATGACAACAGCGGTAAGTAGCAATGACAATGGATCGTTGTATGCTGTCCTAACCGATCTGTATCATGCAGATGCCATAACTGGAAGCACGTACATCCAGTCGCTAAAGGATAACGATGTCTCCAAAATTCGCTGGGACGCAACGGCACATGTACGAGGCATAACAAGAACTCCGTCCTTCTATACGGAAGCTAACGTTGTGCGGTTTGCGCGTAGGAATGCCAACACACGTACACGACAGCAGACACGCACAGCCATCACGTAGTTTTCTTCCCGTGCTTGCAGTTCCTGCAGGATCGCTTGAAGTTGTTCCAGGAGAAACACGTTGGCGTTGCGATCTGGGAACTCGGACAAGGTACGTGTCATCCCCCTTGTGTTAAACCACACCAGCAATTGACGTGTCTGTATGTGGTTGGCAGGCCTCGACTTTTTCTACGATCTGCTCTAAAACAACGCACCTCCACTTAAAAATCGGCAATGCTCCATTCATAAAAGTCAATTACGTTTGTTGTGCCCATGGCTTCAGTCGATTTACTGCTTTGACCCTACGGAGGCGGTGAAGTTGCATTGGCATCTCCGGGGCTCGCATCGGCTGCATTTCTTCCCTTGCGACTCTCATCCACGAAAGCTTTAAGAACCTTACGCACATCTGCCAACGTGTCCACTGCAAACGAGCACGCGTGGCGACCTCCACTGTGTTGGACATCGGGGCCCACGATGACAGCAAAAATCTCGACATTTTCGGCCAAACGCACCGGAACCTTTTGCAAGCGACTAAAGGCCACCTTATTGTCGTCATCCATGTAGTTGCCAGCGTCCAACTCGTCATCGTCGTCTGTGGAGTACTCGTCGTGTCCTCGCACAGCTGCGGCTGCTGCCCCTATCAACTGTTCATTTTCATGCCGCTTTCTCGCCCCTCCCTTGAGTTTAATTGTCGGCTCCAATTCGTCCGTCGCGTCATTACCACCTCGTGGTCGTGGCATGCGAGGTTTCGCCTTGGAGACGTGAGCAGCGGACGGAACAGGCTGAGCATGAAGCTGCGGAGGCTCAGGGTTGCTCAAGGCGATGGAATCCCTACGAATCCGTTCGTTCTCCGCTTGCTCTTCTTCTTTCCGCTTCCTCTCGTCATGACGTTCATTGGATTCCGCCACCAGAGCGTTCAACGTCTGGAACATTTGATCGTCAGTCACGTCGTCGCACACGCATAAGACGAAATCGACCTCTTGGTCATTCTTCTTGGCGATCTGGTCAGGAAGAGACAAGTGCTTGAGGATTCCCTCCAGAACTCGCGTCTTCGTACAGCCTTCGTGTTCCACACTAACGGACATGTGTCCTTGGTAGACTTCCAGCGCTGTACCGATAAGTTGTCGCTCTAGGATGATCTGTAAATCCTTCGCCTGCCAACTGCCAAAATGCGGATCAGCATCGCCATAATGCCATGTGAGTGAACTCTCCTTGTCTTCGATATAACTGCCTGGAGTTCTATCAGTGAACATGAGCATTGTAGGCAGCACCAAGTCCTTCCACGACATATCATCGCCACCAAATGAATCGTCTGTCGGCGCAATACTACCAGCGACTGGTGTGTTATCTCCAGTATCCGTAGATCCTGGCACAGAAGTATGACGGGAATACGCTGGAAGGCTACCCATGCTCATATGCATCATACTGTGAGCATCACTGGAGTAAGACGCATCCAGACTGCCACTAACACTCCCCATGCCAGTCATTGTCGCAGTACTCCCACCCGATCGAGCGGTAGCGACGTCATACTGAAACTTACTCATCGTCTTCCAGTGCTCGCGCGTATTACTCAAGTTCATGCGGTAGAAAAAGCCGTCTTCAGCTGCAACACCGACCCGCACACCATTCAGCCACGTCTCGAGGAACTTCCGCTCACGACCACTGACAATAAATACTGTATTACGTTCGTCCGCACTCAGCGCGTCGAGAAGGGACTTGAAATTCGGGCCTACAGCGGCGAGAGGGAGCAGAGAATGCTGCGGTGTCAACGTTCGATCATAATCCAATATGATGACGCGGTTCTGCGCGCTCCGATAGGCTTGCACGATGCTTTTCTTGTCAAGTTTCGGCAGTTGCGTTGACGACTTACGGTTCTTCTCGACTGCTTCACTCAGTTCTTCCAAAAACTGCTCTCCCCATGCCGTGGCCGTGTTAGAAGATACATAGCGATAGAGTTTCTGCTGCCGGATCTCTCGCTCGGTTCGACACATACTTAAAGCTTGGTGAATACTCAGAGCTACGTCTTCGATATTCCACGGATTCACGACGATAGCGCCACTTAGCGACTGGGAACACCCTGCAAATTCACTCACTACCAACACACCTGGGCCGCCATCTTCGCCTTCCCAATCCGTCAGCAGAGACGCGGACGATTGTCTTGGCGATGGAATTGGAGACAACACTCCACCCTTTGCAAGACCTTCTGCAGTGTTTATACTCTCAATATTTTTTTGATGGGACGGAACTGGAGTTGCTGCGCCTTCAGTGCCAATGCCACTATTGCTCAATCCTCGTGCAGCAGCGCGAGCAGCTTTCTTCCGTTCATCTTTACTGCGCATGAAATGCTGCTGGCAGACGATAAACTCGTGCGACACGAGATTCATCCCATCTCGAGTCGAAGTCACTAGACAAACGTCAGCCAAGTCGTACAGAGCACACAATTCTTCATGCGGAGTTGCCTGCTGCTGGATAAAGTGGATCGGCGCGTAGTCTAGAGTCCCAAAGATGCCGTTGATACGCCCAACGATCTGATTCACTTGTGTTACGATATTGTGATAACTGTCCGAACTCATCTCGAGTTGATGACACGGGTCGTAGCCGATATTGCCCTTCCCACCCGCCATTGGACTAGGCGCCCTGGGTGGAGACTCGGATAAACTCTTAATAGGACTGTCACTGCCCGTCGAGCTCTTTGGTTTCACAATTGGATACGAAGAGGATCGAGGAAGGATATTACTGCTGTCTCCACTGGCACTGCTAGCACTGGGCCGTCGGGTATTCTCACCAGCTCCGTTAGCACCTGTAGATTTGCTGTCAACCACTCCTGAACGTGACGAGATGCCAATTTGGACTAGAACGACATTGTGTTGCCACTCCGGGAAACGATCCAGCAGCATTTCCATCGCCAGCATTTTGTGTGGGATTCCCTTGATATTATCCAGCCGATCGATGCCCAGAATGATGCGTTTGCCTCCGAATTTATCGTGTAGTTCGTTCACACGGTTCAGTGTCGGCATACTGGAGGCTGCGCGAGCGAATGGCTCAAGACTGATCCCAATAGGAAACACTCCGATCGACGTAAAGTGGTCACGGTCGGGTAACACGCTTCGGACGCCCTTGTGTGAACACTCGACGCCTAATAGTCGATGACACGTCGAAAGGAAGTGACGTTCATAGTCGAAAGTCTGGAAACCCACGAGGTCTGCTTGTAAAACACCCGCCAGTAACTGGGAACGGACAGGTAGACGACAGTATACGTCCGACGCTGGGAACGGCGTGTGTAAGAACCATCCAATCCGACACGGAGGGATACGCTGACGTAATAGTGACGGTAACAACATGAGATGGTAGTCGTGTACCCACACAGAGTCTCCTTCGTTGTAGATCTCCGCTATAGCGTCCGCAAAGCTCTCATTCGCTGATTCATACGCTCTCCAGTCTTGTTTATTGAATCTTTTTGTTGAATGGAAGCTCGAGCTGCTCCCAGCGTTGAAAGTGAAAGGAACTGGCTCGGATACGTAATGGAATAGCGACCACAGCACTTCAGACGAGAAGCCTGTGTGTCTTGAAGCCACGTCGGATGATAAAAAGACTGGCAGACAGTTGTGTTGCAGTAGTAAGCGACGCACGGCCTCATGCTCGCTCTTAGGGATATGCTGGCCTACCCAGCCTACCCACAGGAAGTTCATTTCAGCTCGGACGCCAGTAAGGCACATGAGTTTGTCCAGTCCGCCTGTGGTCTTCGTGGCTTTCCAGCGCCCGGTCTGTGGCTGGCGTTCTAGTAGAACTGGCAGGTTGTTGGACACGACAATGAGTTGGTTACCAGAGGCGCCAAGCGGCTTATCTGTCGAGTCCTCGTCGCTGTCCTCCTCCTGATCGGCGCGGAGTTGCATGAGTTGCAGTTGTAGGTCCTGGATATTGGCCAGAATCTCCTGCTCCTCAAGCGACAGCGTGTCCAGACGACTCAGCTCGAAGTCTGTGGCGGCGCGTTGGGACACGAAGAATTCGTTGCGAGGCGACAACACGCCGCTGGTGGGCGGCGACGCCGCCGCCGCGTGCAGAGAGGTGACTTCTTCCCCCATTCGAGAAGCGGCAAAATCGAGAATGAAGGCGCCCGCACTTCAACGCACTTCCCGTCGAGATACTTTGTGCAAGTCAAGGGCATTGTGACAGTTGGAGAACGACTACGAATGTAAATTTTTTGGAAGTGTGATGGATATTGACCAATCCTATTTGATTTTTAAAGTTTGGATGCACCAATCACAGCTACGCCGAGTTGTCTTCAACATATGCGACGTGGCGCGAAAGTATCTATAACCTAGCGCCTTGACTTATACCAGGAGACGAACGGGAATGCCATTAAATACAGCACCAGTGCGCCGTAGAACGTGGCTGCCACAGCCACGATAGTCCAGCCCTCGGACGACAGATCGAAACTCTGCTGCAGCGTCCGGAAGACCAGCGTGTAGTTGACTGCGAAGAGTGCGAGTGTACCGACAATCAGTGTGATGATGATCCATCGATTATAGACGAACGGCTCTCCCATTAACCGCTTATTGGTCGTGAACGTGAGCAGCGGTATCAGCGCGAACGGAAGCTGCACACTTTGCATCACGTTGATCATCTCGCTCACAATGTCACTATGGAATCCGTCGTACTCAGTCAGCAGCGCCACTACCAGCGCAGGCCCCAGTGCCATCGTACGTGTGATTGCCACTCGCTTCCATGCAGCAATACGAAGATCTAGAAACCCTTCCATCACGAACTGACCGGCATATGTCCCTGTCATTGTCGACGCTTGTCCCGACGCAACCAAACCAACAGCCCAAATCGTTTTGGCATATTGTCCAAGCGAACTGCTCACTGCTGCCCCCGCTTCCTTCAGTCCAACCTGCTGGCAAAAGCCCCCAATGTGCTTTGTCGTGTAACACTTAGCGCACGACGCTGTTACTGCTCCGTTTTCAAAGGTACAAATAAGTCCGTTTGAGGCACTGTAGATATCGTTTCCAGATACTAATGCAGCAGCAGCTGGGATACACGCAGTTTGAATTCCTGCGCTATAGACATCAGACGACGGATCTGCGCCCAATTGATCGCACTCCCGGCTGTAGAAGGTGCTGGCAAACGCAGAAATGACGAACATGTTGATGAGAAAACTCACGAACAGCGCCAATACCGCCTCCAATCCGAAGTAAAAGTTTGCTTCTTTGACAGGACCGGCCCCCGTTCCTCGACGACTGCGAGATTGGACTAGAGCTGAGTGCAGATAGACATTATGCGGCATGATGATGGCGCCGAGCATACCGACAGCTTGCATCACGTTCTGGTCGTCAATGCGCGGGATGGCGATGCCCTTGGTGATTTCAATGCCGCTGGGCTTACTGACTGTAAAGTCGACGAAGAAACATGCGCACATGATACCAATAAGTCCCATGAAGAAGGTCTCGAGCAAGCGGCTGCTCTTGTTGTTCCCGCGTCGGTCGATGGCCAGAAAGGTGAACGTGTCCAAAGCAGTGATCAAGCAACCAATCCACAAGGGCAGTCCGAACAAGATCTGAAGCGCGATAGCGGTGCCCAGTACTTCTTGAATGTCACAACCGATGATTACTAGCTCCATCATGATCCACACGGCATTCGTGACGAAACGAGGATATTCGGCTCGACAGAGCTCGGCCAAGTGGCGTCCCGTGCAGGAGCCAAGCCTAGCAGCTAGTACCTGGTACAGCCCACCAAGCGCCGTACTCCAGAACGTGACATAGAGAAGCTCGTAGCGTGAATATGCTCCACTCTGTAAGTCTGCCTCGAGATTGCCTGGATCCAGATAGGCCATGCTCATGAGCCAGCCAGGACCCACGAAGGACCAGAACTTGCCCCATGAAAACGGAGGCCGCTCTGGCGTCAAGTGCGCATCGCCGTTGATCTCCGAAAGCCGCGAATACGATGCGCTCAGTGTTTCCCCACTTGGGCGCAGGATCTCCTCTGGAACCGGTGGCATGTTGGGGTCAAGTTGACGATAACCATAATGAGACGGGGACAACCTTAGTCTGACGATTTCATTTCAACCAATCAGCGCTTCACAAGTTTTATCTAATCTCAACTTCACACTTTTCTACCAATCACATAGCTGCGACTTATAATTGAGATGGCAGATAAAGCTGCAGATGCAGGTGCTGGCGTCGGCAATAGCGACGCAGTAGACGCAGTAGGTTCATCATTGCCGCCCTCACTGCCTGCAGTGCCCGATACCAGTGTCCCAAGTTTATTAGACTCGCGAACGCTGCCCCCAGTGGCTGATGGGAATGATGCAGCGCCCCGCTACCTGCCGCGAGAGGACGGATCAACGCCGGCTTCGCTGACATTCAGCGAAGCTTTTGCTCAACTGCGAAAGACATCTTCGTATGTAGCGCCGCCGCCACAGGAAGATAAGCCTCCTGCTCGAGATGCAGCGGCCACAATCTACGTGAATCGGCGACAGAAGGGCAATCCGATGCTCAAGTCTGTGCGCAATGTGGGGCTTGAGTTCCGAGACGGACTGATCCCGGACTATGTCATAGGCGAGTCTTCCTGCTGTGTATTGTTTCTCAGTGTAAGGTATCATCTACTACACAATACTTACCTGGACGAACGCGTGCAGAGTGTGAGGAAGGACGATCCTACGCGCTATAAAACAAAACTCGTGCTGTGCTTCGTGGACGTGGACGACAATGAGGTGGCACTGCGGGAGATCAACCGCGTTGCGCTTTTGAGCGACTTTACGCTGGTGCTGGCATGGAGTTGGCTAGAAGCTGCGCGATATCTCGAGACTTTCAAGGCCTACGAGAACAAGTCGGCAACGATCATCAAGGAGAAAGTGGAGGCTGAATTTCTACCAAAAGCAAACGACGTGCTCACATCCATCCGATCGGTGAACAAGACAGACGTAGTGACATTGCTGTCCACGTTCGGAACAGTGAAGGGGCTCATGAATGCATCGATGGAGGAGCTGTCGCTGTGTCCCGGCGTGGGCGCCAAGAAGGTGCGGCAGCTACTCGAGACTTTCCAAGAGCCCTTCACAAAGCAGTGAAAGTGGCGATCAGGGGCAACTTTGTCACATTGAGGTGCTGTCAACAATCACTGCAACATTTCGAAGTTGCACCCTCTTGCAGGAATTATTCAACATGTATGGTATCAAAAATGTGAAATCGCTCCTCTTTGGCTTCAACCACCAGTCGATAATCAGCTGCATTGACGTAAATTACTTCCCTTTGCGTTTCCTTCCTTGCCTTTTGTTTGGGTTCTAATGTTGAATGATCTCAAACGTCCTTGCGGCATTCACTACAGCCAATGTAACATCCGAACAAACAAAAATTACATCATAGAGGTGAGAATTTTCGCTGTTTTCTTAAGAACAGCGAGCTTATGCATAGGAATTCTTACGCGCGAGGAGAGGCGTTACTGTTGCGTCCAGCCTCGTTGTTCACTTCGGCGGTGAAGCCAACCCCTTCGATAGCTGCCACCAGGTCGTTGTACTGCGCTGAGCCGGAGACGTAGGCGGCACGCTCGTTGAACTCCACAACTGCGTCAGTCACACCGGGTGTGTTCTTCAGAGCATTCTCCACAGTCGTGCCGCAGTTCTTCATACACGACATGCCTTCCACTTGGATACGAACAGTAGACGGATCCGTGAAACGCCACGATCCACGCTCCTCTGTGATGTCCTGATCCAAATTCTTAAAGAGCAGGAAACCTGCACCAAAACCGGCAATAAGAGCCACAAAGAGACCTGTTTCGTAGGTCATGACGACGAGCATGGCAAAGTACGCGATGGTCATCTGAATCATGTACAGAACTGCCAGCATCGCCTTGCACTGCATCTTGTGGAGTTTGTCGTGAGGGCGGAGTTTACGTGCTACCAGCAGCCGCTGGCGCACCACCTCTCGTCCTTTCACTAGCGACTCGTTCAGTAGGGCGATGAGGAAACAACCGATGAATCCGAACGCATACTTGACGCCGCTGTTGAGCACCCATGGCTGGAATAGCAGCATCACACACGATCCATGGATCGACGTCTGGAATCCGTTGAACATGACGGATCCCTGGCCAGAACAGAAGTCCGAGCTGGTCGATGACGTATCCGACTCGGTGGTCGTGTCGCTGGACGCAGCGGTGGTGCCGCTAGCGCTCGCGGAGGAAAAGTCTGCCACGAAGCTCTGGGCTGCAGGGCTCAGCGTCGTGATGTTGGTGGCGTCGGAGCATGTGGTACCTGCACAAATGACACTGTCTACCAAGTGCCGCGGCTCCGTGTTGACGCTGGTAAGGTATGAGTTCTTATTGTCCTGCGACGCGAAGTAGATCTTCTGGCCTCTTTTCAGACACACGTACACGTAGTTGTCGGTAGTGACCGAATCTCCGGACACAGGGTCGCTGATACCGCCCGAGCACTCGTCGCATGCGTTCGTACAGTCGGCATAGGCGTCGGCGTCGGTCTGGTTGACGATATATTCGGCCATATTGGCCGCCAAGTAGGCCGTGTCCGTCAGTTCGAAGTTGTAAGCATCAAAGGTGTGCGGGTCCATGCCACATGAGTAGATCTTCTGGCCGTGTTTCATGACCACGTAGTTCTCGTTATCATAACCGCTCTCCAGCGTAGACATGCCGCACACAGGGCACGTGTAGTCGGTGGAGCTCACGCCCGAAGACGCCAGGTCGCGGTGCACCTGCATCACGTGCATGTCGTGCAGCTGGTGCAGCTCGTGGTGGTGGTTGTGGTGGACATGCGCGGACATCGACGCGGCCAGCAGCGCGCCGGCGACCAACGGCACAGAAGGACGCATCTCAAAGTCGGGCAAAATGAAGACTGAGCTCAGTCTTCACCTGTCCAGCTGTAGCGCAAATTTGCTATTGCAGAGACGGGCGGATTAGGTTCCATTTCGATACAAATCTGAAATTCCAAGTTATTTGGAAATGGCTGTTATGGATCAACTTCCGAGATGAATAATTATCCGAGCTGGAGTGTTGCTACATGCCTCATCATTATCCAGGCATGGCAGCAGTGCAACAAGATGGCGAAGGAGTCATCAACGCCTAGGTGCTGGAGATCGATCTCCTCCGCCATTCATTCAACAATGCGTTTCAATAATATCTCGTGCGAGAGGGCGGCGCGCCGTGTTGCTGCAACTCTGTTGCATCAACCAAACTGCGCAGCTGAGGCGCGCCGTTGGCTCCAAGCTTTCCTGCACTTCCATTCGATCACCGCCTTGGAATTTGGACACTGCGCTTCCACCAACGCTGCCTTCCATCGAAACTCCGCGGCACTTGATCCTTTGACTTGGGTGTGATCTGGCCGACATCTGGCGACTATCCGGCTTTGTGCTCTCCCAAACGCAAAATTCACCTTTTACGGAACCCTCATTTTTACTCTTTCTCTTGAAATGACGAGAGCCTGGTCGCTGCCGCTGCTGGCGGCAAT